ATCTTGTGTTTGAGTCTTTGGGACCAGAAAAATTGGAAGAAAATGGGAAGTTGAGCAGGCTTACATTAATTATTCATTTTGAGGCTTGTTTGTTTGGGAGGGGGGAACTATTTTGACTATGTAATACATGGTTAAAATTAAAAATAAAAATTTTTTTCTGGAGGGAGGAAGGTACTGGGGTGCTTTACCACTAGCTATATCCCCACTCCTTTTTTACTTTTTGAGACAGGGTCTTATTAATTTGTGTAGGTCCTTGCTAAATTGCTGAGGCTGCCCACCAACTTGTTATTCTCCTGACTAAGTCTCTTCAGTTGTTGAGGCTTCAAAATGTATATAAGAAAATCTCCTCTATCCATATAATTTCTTTGTTAAAGGCCACCCACATGCTGGGTACACACCTATAATCGCAGTGGCTAACAAGTTTGAGGTCAGCCTGGACAATTTAGAGAGACTTTGTCTCAAAAAAAAGCAAGCCACCAGTATTACCACTTGAGTTTGTGTGTGTGTTGTATATGTATATACACACATATCTCTTTTTCTTGAAGTATGAACATGTAAACAGAAATGCACACAATCATACATAGATGCTCCCTTAAATARAAGCATRCAATATACTGTCCTGTGTCTTGCTATTTTTCATTAAACTTTGAAGTGGTAATAAAAAAAATAATAAAGGGAAATTTTATAAATGACATCTGGGACTAGTGGTAGGGTAGCTTAGGAAAAGAGGTTCTAATTTAAAAATCATCAATTTTTAGCTGCAAGAGGGCACCTCCTTTGAGGGAGTAAATATAAACTAAAAACAGAATTTAAAACTAAGCCTTGTTGAACTATCTACATTTACTCATTGATCCAATAATACTTGGTTGAGTTTTGCTTGTGGTCACTCTCTAGTTTGTTTTTTTTTTTTTTTTTTCTTTTCATTTGTTTCATTTTTTTTTTTTAAACAGGGACTAAGTTGCCCAGAAGGGTATCAAACTGTGATCCTCCTGCCTCAGCTTTCTGAGTGTCTGGGGTTTACAGATGTGCACCACTGTACCTAGCTCTAGTTTGGATTTTTTTATATTAAATTTGAAAGCTTTTGAAGAATTTAAGTAGGGGA